GGGACTTGAATCTAGGTCTGCCATGCCATAAGTGGCCACCCTTCCACTCAAGCTCATCTCTTTATTTAAACTTCTGAAGTGGCCAGAACATATACATGAGAACATTAGCTAATATTAGCTTTTTTTTATATCAGTGTAGTTCTTGCAATTTCATTACATGGGATGTATTATTTTTGGCGCAAAGAGCTTTAAAATTCAAATGAAGATATTTAAAGGGACAGCTTTAAAACATCTAAGTCTAAAAGTTTGTAATATGTTATCAAACATTTGTTCAATTTAATTACAGATATACTGTGAGTAGGAAGAGACAGTGTCACAGGAAAACCTAATAATAAATGGAGACTAACACAGCACAGGCTCTGAGGATTGCAGAAAATTTAATTTTTTAATATCGTTAATCCAAATGCAGCCACTGAATCCTTTAGATTTATTCTAATAGCCTCTCCTTTTAATAACTGATTAAACCCACAGAGTACACAAATGTGTTTCTCAGTTACAATCTTCTCTTGATGATGATGACAATTACGTCTGTTATTTGGTTCACATACTCTCCTTTACCCAATGCCACAATGAATACTGTCTTGTAGCTGAAAAGTCCACCCCATGAATTTTCTGTTATAGCCACTTAAAGTGAATGATATGACTGTGATTACAGATAAAGTAAGCATAAGTGTTTATACCATCAGGGCAAAAACTTGTAAAGAAGTGATGGAATCAGCATTCTTAGTAAGGCTTTCTGAATGTCATTAAACTTTCAGAAAGTCAGGGCTGGGCTTCAAGCAAGCATGAACTGGTCAAAGGGTTGCTCTCCAATGTCTTTTATGGGCTCGTTCATAGGGCCAGGAGAGAGAGAGAGACTTGGTTCCTAAGCCTGTAAGATCTGACTTTTGTAGGAAATGGGGAAGAGCTATATGTCCCTATAAGCTGCAGTTTCCAGGTTTTCCTTAGTTTATTGTGTATTCTTTACATGAACAAAGTTTAAAAGAATGTAGGATTTCTATGAGCTTGAGTATTGTTTTCTAGTAACACACCTATGTACCTAGGAATTGTATAAAAATGCAGGAAGTGTGGTCTTTGCCTCAAAGACCATGAAGTCCAAAAATAATAGACAAAGGTATACAACAGTCATTTTCAATCTGTGGTCCGCGGACCTCTGGGGTTCCACAGACTATGTCTAAGGGGTCCACAAAAAGTGATTATGATCAATCAAAAGTAAGTGAATACCCACACTTACAACTCAAAGTGGTTCTCACTTCCATTCAACGTTTTTTAGGGGCCTGCAAATGAAAAACGTTGAAAACCACTGGTGTACTACATGGAGAAGAAGGGGCCGTAGCGACTTGGCTATTGCTCCATAGTGTTTTGTCCCAGAGGCTTGCTGACCATCTTGCAGGAGGGAAGTTATTTGTACAAAGACATGAATGATCCTCATTTCCTTGCATGTGCCCCCCACCTCCATCCCAGAGGTTTTGTCCCTGATTGGGTGTGCCACCTGATAATTAACATATGTAAGCAAGGTAAAATTATCTTGGGCAATGAAGGCAAAAATGTGTACTTCCAAAGTGGTGAGGTAGAAACCAAGGTATAATGGGCACAGAAAGAGAGCTGGCAGAAAATTTTCTTACAGAAAGTTTATTTTTTCCGGTGGAAAATGCCAATTCATTAAAAGCAAAACACTTTGTGGAGGCATGACATTTTCAGAATTCATCATGAAAGGTTTTTTGTTTAGTTTTTTTTTTAAGCATTTTGATAAGGTTAAAACATTCTATTCTTTCAGAAATGTTACACTTTTTTTTTTTTTTCTTTCTGGTATGATAACTTCATGTTTTATGTTATGAAAAGAGGTTGGAACAAAAAAAGGTTCGGTGTTATCAAAATAATGCTTTGATCCAAACTGATTTTTTTTTTTTT